TTTGTTCAACTAAATATCTTAAACGAATAATGTCATAGGGACTTGAACATTAACCCTACATCTGCAGTGGACTGGTGCTTTCTAAGCAGACGACTTCTATATTAAACATTTAAACTTCACAAGTAATTACACTATATATTGTGCATTGTTACCACCAGGTTACCTAAACTATGTCCGATAGATCCCCCTTATGCTGGAGGAATTGTGCTTAAATGAGTGACATGAAAGACATTTGGTGGTTTAGCCTGATAATTGCCTCTATGGACTAAAACATTTGCATTAATTCAGTGAATATGTGGAGTGGGTCTGCTATTCATAACTGAACCCACCAACCTCTACATTTACCCTGAAGATATCCCAAGGGAATTCGTCACACTTGTCAACCACACACTCCTAGGTGTCAAACGAACCATAGCCAGACACTGGAGAGAAAATAATCTGCCTGTCTTTCTTGAAATAATTGCTAATATAAATGGTAATAATGATCCATCCTCTGTGTAACACTAAACATCTGTTTGGAAAAATCTGGTAGCCATGGATATCAAGAATGAACAAATTCCAATAATCCCAACAATCGCTATTCCCTAATCCTTCTTGATATTTATTTATCTAGTGTTAGAAATATATTTCTTATCTGTTTAGTAATTTCTGTGATTTACATAATTTATAATTCATTGATCTGTGCAGGACTGCTTTGCATTATGTTATTGTAGTTTTCCGCCTTCTCCATGTTATTTGCATTTCTAATGACCACTGTTTGTGATACTGCTCCTTTTTTTGTTTCATTATTTGTATGATTAGAAACCAAAATAAAATAAAACCTATATACTAAATATTTAGAGTATCATTAGAGTGAGTTTGAAATAGGGAATGCATTTTCATAAACATATAATGTAATTCTGTCATTATGGCATACATCATTACAGTTCTGGATATGAATGCAAAGAAGCAACAGCGTTTATCCCCCCCACCGTCCATTCATAGTCCACTAAGCTAACTTGGTCACTAGAGTTGCTTTAGACCAGTGGTTCTAACCCAGTACTCAAGGCAAACCAACAGTCCACGTGTTTGACATTCTTCAATCTTGTTCCATTGTATCAAAATAATATTTACATTTTATTATAACAAGAGCTCATCCATACCAACAGCCACCAGAATGCTTTCCAATATTGTGGTCTCTCATTACAGAACTCAAATTATTGGATGTTGTCTATCTTCCAAAATGTATATGATATAGTGATCCTTGCAAGAAAATAGTCTAGAACAGGCATAGGCAACTTTCGGCACTCCAGATGTTTTGGACTACACCTTCCATGATGCTTTGCCAGCATTATGGGTGTAAGAGCATTATGGGGGATGTAGTCCACAACATCTGGAGTGCCGAAGGTTGCCTATCCCTGGTCTAGAATACACTATCCCTTCAAAGAGATGGTTATAAACACAAGTATGGAAGATTCTCCCCATAGATATTTGCCATGCAGATTTGGGTGCACACCTGGTGTTCAACTATGTCTGGAAAAATGGTCTCACCATGCAGATTATGCTCCTTTGAGAATCTTTGAGCTGTGGGACTTTTTGAAGGCTGTTCATTTCTTCCAACCCCTCTTAATACATATCAGTGTGTGTGCAACTTTGGTAGCACAATACTGCATTAGTTTATTACCTCAACTAACAAGGAGGTACAAGAAGCAAGACAATCATGTTAGTTTGGCCTTTGATAGGGGGAAGAGCTGGTCTAAAGCACATCTGGAATACCTTACTAAGTTTTTCCTTCTGGGATCATATAATATTCTAATGGTGTTTTGGAGCTGGGTTACATAGACCTAGGAAATTTGTGGCTGAGAAGTTCGGTTTTTCTTAGTACAGGTATCAGGCTCTTAATTGCCATGGATGGGCCATTCATTCACAAGTTTATGCTTCTGTTATGACCTTCAGTCAAGGCACTTTTTCCCACATGGGATCTCTCTTTGGCCTGTCTGGCACTCCATTTGACCGTTTGGTGTGTCCTTATGATCTTTACATTAGTTTACAGTGTTTCAGATTTTCTTCATCTGTGACCATACCTAGCGGGCAGGACAATTTCATTCTTTAATGGTGCCAGCATTTCATTCTAAAGTTGTGTTTTCTATTCACATAAATTAAGAATAGGTCCTTCCAATAATTTTCCATCTCCATTTTCTAACTAAGACAGACATTGGCATTCACTAGTATGCTGCCTTTTCATTTACCTCCACGTGGTAGTTTATCTTGCCCTTGGGTCACATGAAGGGTTCAACTATTTTCTTCTCTGCTGTAGGAATATGGATTGTGGCAGCCATTTCTAATATGTATCAAGTTTGGCAGGTTCTCATTCCTCACGTTCTCCAAGCTTACTCCACATGGTCCCTTTCCTCCTGTTGGGCAGCTGCAACTAATATTTCACTAGAACAGAACTATTGGTCTGCTACTTGGTTGTTCAAGAATACATTCTCAAGAACTATAAGCTGGATATCTCTGCTTCTTCAAGCATTATCTTTGGCAGAGTTTTTCTCAAAGCCGCACCTTGCTATTTCTTTTTTTTATGCAGTAATCCTGTGTTCGGCACAATATGTGTTGATCTGCTTCCTCCCATTCTTCTGAATAAACTTTGTATTACCCATCGTAGTGCTGCCATGGTTATGGTCAGGAAAATGGAAAATGGAAAAATACATTTAAATTAATTACTGATATTTTTTCTTGTCTCCCTTTCTATTTCTATATGTTGTGTGCTGAGAACTTAGAATGGGGAGTATTGGAAAGGGAGGGCTCTTTTTGCTTTGTTTGATGTTTTTTGTGTTTCAAATGGGATTTTGTGAGGAGATGCCCATTATAATGCAATTTGTAGGGTCAGACAAATAAAATATTGGCTAGTATGAATCCATTTTTTAGTTTCTCTTAGGTTATGAGCCTTGTTGAATATTGAAGGAAAGCTATATCTACCAATTCTTTGTATATCTGACTCTTTTAAACAATTTGCCATAATTGTTGTATTGCACTTTAGAGATAATGTGCTAAAATATGAAAAATATGAAATGCATTTAAAAAAAATATATATATTTACATATCATGTTCCTGCATCTATAGTTCTGCACCACTGTGACAGTGATCCTTGGCTCACATCTACATAATGATGGATTTATTGTGTTTACATTTGCATGCAAAGTTTATGAGAGCACCCTTTCCCTTATGTTACATAATATTATCTTAAAACATAGGGAAGGTAGGTGGGTAGGGACAATGTATGTACATGTGGAGATCCAGGACTGTGGTAATTTTAAATGTTAGTTTTGATTTTGATGCCACTTTTCCATGAAATTGTTCACTTAGAGGACACCTAGGAACATGGACGTGGAAATCTCTACTTTTATGAAATTTGTAATGCAAGCATGAATCATGGTTTGAACAACCACTTGTCATATTATAAGCTCAGTTTTTATGGATGGTGTTGCCGTTTTAATTTACATTCTGACACAAACAGAACTGCCACATAAAAATATCAGAGCAAAACCACTCCACAGAAAACCAGAGAAACCACAATACGGTAAGCCATTTTGCAGATTACACCATGGCTTCTTGCATGTAAAATGAACAATGTTTTTGTCATCAGTTCAACAGTTACAGTGACCAGGAGTAATTCTCCTCCAACAGATCTCCTCCTGGGTGTGCTCATTAGCAGCAAAAGTAGCCCATTTAGTGCCACGACACACAGCAACATGATGCGCTGTTCTCTTCCATGGTGCTGAAAGAGCCAAATTACTAAAATTAATTAAAAATAAAATACATAAAGAGTCTATCTTCCTCATAGGGTGTTATGTTGGCTGGAATGTAATGCTACGAGTGTCTGCTCTCAATAAATTATACACACAGGCATGAGGTCTCAAATCCAGAGGCAGTGTATTACTAACTGTATACAGGATGAGTCAACACAAGGCTTTCTCTACTATACACACTATACACCTTCATAACCAGTGTCTCAGCTCTTCCCAACATGTGTATTCAGTTAACCAACAAAATGGCTGCTGCTTCCTGATGAGCAGTACAACCACTACAGCAGGAAAAAGGGGAACGGGCATAATGCCACCCCCCAACATTTGAAAACTCTGAGACAGGCAGTGAGTCTGTGTAAACATCACATGATTTATACTGCAATTTTGCAAACAGTGAACAGCACATTGAGGATTTGTTTAAAAATAAATAAATAAAACAGCAGCGGGCCCAGGAGACCCCATGTGTCACGATTGGGTTTACTCTCAGTCTAGTGCAGTACCTCCCAGTGCCACTACCTGTCTGCGGTATTGTTGCAGGCTGCTGCACCCAGACTTAGCACTCTCTATGTTCCTAGCTGGCCTTACTTTGTGATTAACATCTCCCTATTTAGTTGAGCCTCACCCTTTCTTGTTTGCCAGGTCATTAATGTTATGTTGTTGGTCTGGTTCTCCTGTCCTGAGTTCCCCATATCCAGAGGACCTTCTGCTACATTCAGTTATCTGTGTTTATATTTTATTTAACAGTCTTTTTCGTATACATCAATACACTTATTTTTTGCCTTGATTTGTGTGTATATTGGTTTCTTTGCATTCTGGGTTCCACCCTATAGATGTTGCTGCGCTAGTCAGCACCCCTTCCTGACCAGACCCCTGACATCATGATTAACCAGGATGCCTCTTTGACTAGTGGAGGTGTAGTAAATAGTCACTGGCCATTCCACCACTCGCTGTGTTGGTGTGGAGGGTAATAATAATGATAAAACTGGGATAGGTGGTCCCCATGACCCCAGATGCTCAGTTCCTTGCTCTTAATACTGGTAGTGCTAACTTGCAGCTAACAGAGAACTGTGAGATGAAATCCGAAATTGATTTAATCTGATCTTATCACTTTTGATGGCATTGAAGTTTCAATGAAAGTCCAAAGCAGTAGTTAATGGGATATATTGCATAACAATTCTATTTAATGTGATATTAATCTTTTATTTGTTGTGTTTTACTAGATTATACCTGCCATATACCAAACCATGATGTAGTTAGCGTACATTGGGAAATAATTTGTTAAATACTACATTGTTGCTTCATATTACAAAGAAAGAGGCGGAGCAATGAAAGGCTGTCCTTTTTCCCAGTTGTATATGAGATGTCTTTCTGACAGCAGTCTGCTCACATTGACTTGCTACACTGCTAGCACTCTAATAATACACTATATTCAACAATGGTAAGTTTACGAAATTACTAGCATTTTCGATTAAAACATTTGAATGCCTTTTTTTTTCTTTCTGGCAGATAACTACAATGTGTAATCTGAATGTTATTCACTTTATCATGATATCCATTGCTGCACAAAATGTTCCAATTTTACTGTGCAAATAATATGATTTTCTTTTCTAGACTTCCTACACAGACAAAGGAGAAAAGGTATGATAATTTCCTATAAATAGCCATACATCTAGTTCAGTTATTTTTACCGTTTATTGTTTTAAACTGATCTCTTAAATAATTTTGTATTTTTTAATTTTTTATTATCATCTAGTAAATGATGTTGCAATATTTTATTTTTAGAAGTGTCTGTAAAAAAAAAAAAAGTAGTATATATTTAGCATTCTATTCATTAAAATAAATTGGGGGAAATTGAGATATGAGAATTGCAATTTTAGGGCAATATAACAAAACTGTAAAAAAAATATATGATAAATTCAAGATTTTTTTTTCATTTGACATAAAAATTGTGATCATGAGGCAATTCTCCAGGATAAGTGGTTAAATGATAAAACACACAGTGAATCAGTGCTGCAGTTACATTTATAATGGTACAGTTTGGGATGTTAGTACACTGATGAAACAGGTAACGCTTGAAATTCTGCAAAAACTGGAAAGATCTAATTTGACAATACAAAATAAATAGAAAGCAGTTAGGAACCTGCTCTGAGCAGACTCCTTTACCCAGTAATCAGAGATAAACATGGGCTATTCAATAAATAGTGAATTGTAAATTTTCAAACTTTTGTCTAACAATATGACTTGGATTTATTTTTATTTATAATATTAGTATAAAATATTCCAAGTTAACTATTAACAATCCACAATTTAGCAAAGGATTTTGAAACACTCAGGGTGGATATATATGATAATCTCTGAAGTGTTATTCACTAAACTGTGAACTGAATTTTAAAAATTAAGCCTTACTAGCTCATTAGAAAAAAAAAAAAATGTTTAAATAGCCTGAATTTTGAAAATCAGGTTTTAATTCATGACAGTTTATTTTTTAGTGAGTAGACATTCACAATTTTGTGCTATTAATGCATAATTAGTATTTTAATGTTTAGTGTTTTAAACAATTTTTGGGGGTTACATTTTGTGCCTAATGGGTGAATTTCAGTTGTACCTGTCTGGGAAGGGAGCTGTTTTCATGCTTTTTTATAGTGTAATGCTACTTTTACAGTGCACTTTAGATTTTTTATTTTTTTTAATGCTATTTTGTAAATGTTATAAAAATGAATTGGGAAAAAAAATGATGCTACGTCGATGCAGTATAAAGTGATTTCTGATATTCAGTTTTACATCTGTTTTATATATTGTATGGAAACATAACATGTTTTCATGTTTGTGTTTGGAATCCAGCATGAACAAGGACGATTTCTAAACTTTCATTCTGTAACACTGTGGGTCAGTAATGCAAAACAGGTAGGTTACTTTATCTGTGTTCTTTAATGGGTTAAATTAGAGATGAAAGCATTCCTCCATGTGTGAGCTCTCCAACTAGATAGCCTGAGCTTGTGATTGGTTCGTAAAGGGGAGTATCTGATGTCCCTCCAACAGTCTGTTTCCACTTAAGCTATGTGCCACATATGGTGCTTCTGCTAGCACAGACACAGGCTGTTGTCTCTGATATCAGCCACAGGGATGTGTTATAAAAGTCACATAGGTCTATTTGGGTCATGATGTTCTATGGTAATTAGCAAAGTAACTCCCTACAAATAAATAAGATTCTGAGGTTTTATCAGGAAACAGACATAAAACCAGTCCCGATTTCCAGGAGTAAATAAGAACATAGGCCTTGATTTTATATTTTTTGAGCATTTTTTTTTTCAAATTTATATAATACTTTTTTGGATGCAATTTTCAAATTATTTAATTTTTGTAAGTTTTTTTTTATAATGTAATATTTTGATTTTATTGATATTTTATGTGATATATTTGAATTTATGTCATTTGGAAACTTTATCCAAAAAGATGAAATCATTTGAAATAATTATCCACAAAATATTTAATCAAGGCCATAGTCGGTATAACGGATGGGGAAGGTGGGAAATTTGGTTGTTTCTGAAGACCTTTGGCATTTAAATCTGGTTTTCATCCCTAGTCCTGGTCTTAAAGGATGTTAGGAGATAAATACCTCTACAAGAATGGGAACTCTGTAAAGGCCCAAATGCTTAAGCATCCATTCTTTTTCTGATCTGCCACTTACATGCCAGTGAACCATGTTGGCTGGCGTCATGTCTATCAGTGTAATTTATCTTAGAACCATGAGGCCACTTAATAAAATGTATTTATTGTAATTTTTTAAAATTTCTGTTATGATTTTTCTTTCCCCATCGTTATTTGTACTATGTTTTTAAACAATCTCTACGCTACAGGCTGCCTCATTTTATTGCAATAAAATGGGATTTGAACCCTGGGCATACAAAGGTCTGGAGACGGGTTCTCGTGAATTGGTATCTCATGTTGTAAAGCAAGACAAGGTATACTTATTTACCCATCCATTGGAAATACTACTCTGCAATTGTATATAACAGTACTGTACCAATATTGCTCATATTTGTCTTGCAGATAATTTTTGTTTTCGTATCTGCTCTTACACCGGGTAACAAAGGTAAATTGTTTTGTTCTTTGCACCTGTGCCTTTGTGTTTGTAATATTCAATACAGATTGTAATACAGATAACTGGATCTATGCAGGCCTCCCAACCTTTCCAATTTCGGCTGGAAAGTCACAATTTTCTTGTCCTGACACCTGTCCTGGCGCCAGGGAACTGTTCCCAGCAAGCATAGTGCAAGTGCATTGTTAGATGCGCTCACGCTTTGTTTAGGACACTTGGACCCTGCAGAGAGCGCCAAAACAGTGCTCCCAGTGGGTTCAGCCCTCAGTGGGTTGTCCTTAGATGTTAGTCAGGCAGAGAGACTGGTGTGTATTCATGCCCGGATGACCTGCCAGTAATTCAGGTGGTTCAACCCCTTTTCTGGCTGGTTCCTCGTCCATTGGGGTGGAGCCAGTGATCCAATCTAAGCGGTGTCCTACTTTTCTGGATGCTGTAGTTGTGAGGTATGTCTGCTTTACGTGTAAAATAATTATAAGGTCAACAAGTACTATTATATGGAATTCTATGTTCATGTGTTTATCTAATGTCTTCTTTGTGTGTATGCAACAGCTGCATTCTCTGCCTATCACTGTAGGCCATAATAGAAGCTGAAGTGTAGCATTAAAGGGATGGCCTAAGGTTTTGTGTCTTTCAAACTAAGTTACCTTAGATATGACTCAATTTCTCATTTGGACATTTTTTCATATTTTTCACATCAGAATTTGGAGCCCACTTACAGAAACATGGTGATGGTGTCAAAGATGTAGCTTTTGAAGTAGTGGACTGTGACTTCCTTGTTCAGGTGACACATTGAGCACAGTGTTTAATCTCTTCGAGTAATATCTATACTGCAAATGACCAAATATTTTTTTCTACCCTACAGAAAGCAAGGGAAAGAGGAGCAGTGATTGTAAAGGAGCCTTGGATTGAAGAAGACAAAAATGGAAAAGTGAAATTTGCGATCGTTCAAACGGTACTTAATTTTTTAGTCTTCAGAACCATTAGCATTTTTATTTTCAAGGAAAACAAAAAAAGAAATGTTATTTGCTATACAGGTACAATATTTTCATGGTAGTTTGATGACTTTTGACAGAATACATTCTTTGCATTTAGAATCCCTTCCTCTAAAACATTCCTTTATAGGAACAGTATATTTTTGACACATCCAACATCATAACGATCTGCTGTTTATTGCTATTATTGTACTAATATCATAATTAGGGTTATTTGTTAAAATGTGTTAGGAATTCAAAACTAATTTCAACGTTTAGACCAAAAGAATTTTCTAATTCAAGGATTTTGGCCAAAAATTTTAAATTCAGGTTGAAGTCATTTTGAATTTCTGACAATACAGATTCAGATAATTAACCCTGTGTATTTCAAATGATGCCCTGTCTATATGAATGTTTGACTTCATCATACAATTAAATAAAATGTAATAATAGTTCTTCACTTGACCTCAAATTATAGAATTTGAAATTATCTGGTATGGAAACACTCTCCAACTCTGCATTAGCTCCAGCTTGGCCATTGTTGCCTAAATTTCTCAATTTAGATTTTTATTTTCAAATATTTGGAGTTTAGTGAAAAATGCTGCCCATAATCTGTTGAGTGACTGCTGCTTGCATGTTTATGGACTTGACAAAGATTGTACGGGTTCTTCTTGCTTGCTTAAAGTTGAGGGGTGGGGGTGGGGGGGGATGGAGAAGATCCTGGAATTGTCCCTGCAGGGAAAACTGTAGGCTTAGCCTTTATAACCCGCACAGAAATTACATTTGCAGGAAAGTGGCTCTGTCACATCTTTTTCCTCTGTCACCCCTCCCTGACCCACCCAATGCTCTGTGATGAACCCAGGACTTACTATTTTTTTTTTTAATGTCCTGCCACTCCCATCTGGTCTTTATACGTACTGCCACCATCTTGGTAAATCCAATATGGCAGCACACCTCAGCTTTTTTAAAGCATGAGCATCATTGCTTGCACTATATGAGTTAACATTGGAAGGAGGCAAGCAAAAATTGGTAACCGATGAGAAAGATGGCAGATGATGTGGAGCTTCATTATATCTTCTCCTTTTGTCAACTTTTGGAGTCCATACTTTTCCTTATGTATAACTTTATTAAGCAACATAACTTCAGTGGGTGGGGGGAAAGCTTTGCTACCCAACGGGACAAAGAGCAGCAGTACAAATTATCTAAAAAGTGACAGAGCCGCTTTGAGTTAATTTTCTTTTCTGTTTTATCAGTATGGTGACACAACACATACTTTAGTGGAAAAACTGGATTATACTGGCATTTTTCTGCCTAGCTTTGAACCTCCCCTGTTTCGAGATCCTCTTCTACCAAAACTGTAAGTGTATGCGGATTTGATATGTATAAGATAAGGGCAGGGATAGCAGCGCTGATATATTTGATTGTTAAAATGTTTGGATTATGATACTGGATAATACATATATAAATACCACGTTATCATGCTTTATTTTACCTACAAAAATAAATAAATAATCAAATACAGTGAGTGACTCCCAAAGAAACAAAGCAGATGATAAAATAAGTGAATTATGAATGTGGTATATAATAGTTCAACAAATTTAGGCCTTAATCATATATTATTGGATAACCAGTTCAAATATTGAATATTTTTGGATTAACTAATAAAATGTTAGTATTAGGAGAATATTTAATTACATTTTGTTATATATGATAAATATTTTAATTTAAAAATAAATAAATTTCTATATATATATTTTAACATTCTGTCCAAAAATATTAAATCTTTTGAAAAGCCTTTCCAACAATTCTAACTTAAGGCTTTAGTTCTTTTCAAGAAAACAGAATGTTTGAAAAATATTTTTCTCTATTATAACATCATTTGATTTCAGCAAAAAAAAACAACAACATTTTCTCTCTGGATATCGTTAATAACTTGTATTTTGATTATAGTTTCAAATTGCTCACACAAAAATTATACTAATAATACTAAATTAAAGATTGTATGCAATATTTCTACTTTTGCTGGTTCCTATCTCCATTCCTTCCATTCAGGATAATGTATAATGTGGCCTATACGAATAAAGTTTGTTGAAAAAAATCAGGGCTATTGATTAACGTGTAATCAGGAGTCTAGTCCTGGGGAAAAAAGTGTGGGAACTTACCCAAGATCCACCTCCCCCCCCCACCACCCTAAAAAAAAAAACTATACGCTCATATATATATACTTATATATAGCTGTGTGAAGGGGTGACAGTGTGTGGGGGCTGAAAGTGATTGGGGATGGTGATATTGTATGGAGGGGGTGTCAGTGTGTGTATGGGGATGATAGTGTGGGGGCTATGATGGTGTGTGGGGATGGCTGTGAAAAGGTGTGGTTAGGGGGGCTGTGAGTAGGTAGGGGGCTTTAAGGTGGCTCGGGGGTCACACTAACTCACTGACAAATATACACAGACAGACACGCACACACATTTCCCCGCAACACTCAGATATTTTTTTTAATTTTAATTTAAATCCACCCAGCATCCCTACCTTGGGAGAGCTGGGTGGATTTTTTTTTACCTGGGATCCAGTGGGGCTGCTGGCCGGGCTGTTTGGGCAGGAAGATGGGCGGTCAGCTGAGTTCCAGGCGGGCGGCGAGTGAGCGCTGATTTGTGAGCTCTCAGCTCCCTTGCGCGCTGCAAAGTGATGCCGGGGGCCTGGACCTCAACCGTCCGCCTGCCCCGAGGCTAACAAGGCCTGCAGGACTACTCGCGGGCAAACAAGCCCTGCAGGACTACTAATGGGAACGGTGTTCCTGCTGTGCTGGTGCTTAAGCGGAAGGCCGTGATCGTGTGCGGAGCATGCAGTGACTAGATTTAATGATACCCCTTGTGCGCACTATGTGATGGCGGGGGGGAGTGGGCAGGTATATGCTAAGTTAGAGCTTCATGTTACGCTTACGGAGCCAGGTCAACAGAGATACTATAAACAATCTCAAAAAACATTAAAGAAAAAGATAAACTGAACACATTTAATGAACACTTTGTGGAGGTAAGGCACAGGTATCTGCAGCCACAGATTTCAGGTTGGTTGTTTCAGGTGTTCCCCCTTCTGGGTACAAATGGGGTGATTCCTGCCACGCTTCAGGTTAACAATTTGATATTCTGGTTGAATTCCCAACAATTCATACATAATCCAGATTATCTGAGCTGGAAACTTGATTGCCCTGACTGAAAGTAATTTTCTTGAAGTAAGCAAGGTTCTCTTTTTTTTCTTTTTGTAGACCATGTTGCAAATTGAATTTCATAGACCATATTGTGGGCAATCAACCAGATGGTGAAATGGTTCCAGTCTGTGACTGGTAAGTTCATAATTCTTTAAAATCTAATTTCCGTTACCTTCTTGCTATGGCTGATTTTTATCCCTTTTCTTACTGTCTAGAAAAAGACTATTAAACTTTAATAGGGAAATGACCTATCACTCCCTTCAACCTCCCTATATGTATGAAAATGGGATGGATAGTACCAACTGAATAAGTTGAATCAGTTGGTTGTGTCTAGTGAAGAAATGGCAGGAATAACGGTGAGTGTGCAGAGGGTGGGGTCATGTGGACCAATAAGCAACTAATTTGAACCATCTCCATAGGATTGCCAAAAAAAGTATTAAGCATATTGATGCATTTGAACTGATAGTGTTTCTTTTAGCATGAAGATACATGTCTCTAGATGTATCTATATTATTAATATTTTAAAAGAATGAAGGCACTGTGCATTAAACTGGGTGCTCCCGAATGTGTCCTTTAAATGTAAATTATATTACTTTATATTGAATACTTCTTGTTGATTATGTTAATTTGATCTTTATCACAACCATGTTAGTTTGCGAATGAAGTTGTTTTGGTTTAAGCCAGACCTCAATGTAAGTTAAATTATTTACATAGGTACCAGAAATCCCTTTTATTTCATCGGTTCTGGTCTGTGGATGACAAGCAGCTTCACACAGAATTCAGTGCCCTCCGCTCTATTGTGGTTGCCAATTATGAAGAGACTATCAAAATGCCAATAAATGAGCCTGCATCAGGGAAAAGAAAGTCCCAAATTCAGGTATTCCGTGTCAAAATAACACTTATGGGTCAATTACAATCAAGCTTTGAGAACGTTCATTAATATTTGCCTTATGTCTGGAGTCACAATATGGTTTTTAAAAGCAACCACAATCCAAAATTCATTGAACATTTTTGTCAAAGATGGCCAAAATCAGAAAAAATTATTGACTTAAAGGCAGGCCTATTATTTACAGATTCCCTCTGCTATTTTCCTTTGGCTTTACTGGATTCATGAATAGTATAAATAAGGAATAAAAAATGAGACCAGGTTTGTGATTTACTCTATAATCTCAAACTCAATAGTACAATATTGCAGATTAATGGGGGAACAAATGGGTTTTTGACTAGATTACTGGATGATGGTCATAAGTGCATTAATGATGATAATAGAGTATAGGTGTATCCTTAACATATTATGTTTCATATGGACATTGAAGTATGTGGTGTGTTTTTTTTATTTTTTTGGTGTGTTAAAGGAGCACACCAGTCATCTTACCCAATGCATCTTCACTGACGTCCCTGTAGTGGTCAACATTAAACCATTTAATAATGGGTGATGTCTTACCTGGGTGCTACCAGGCATCGCTCCCTGCCTTTACTACTCCCTATGGAAAGCCAGAAACACCTAAGCTAAAGCTTTTGTTATAGATTCTGGACTAAGCCCTGCAATACAGGTCTTGCTCATTGGCAGAGAACATTAGCTGATTGCTCTACTAGGCTTAGCTCAGATAGAGAGCTTCTGCCTCTCCATAGGAAGTAATGGAAGTGGAGCCTGGTGGACCTTCAGTTAAGAAGTCAGACTGTTCTGAAATATTAACAAGATGTCTTTAGTTAACCCCTTAACAACGTTAGGGTGTGCTATGCCGTTCTACAAAAGAAGGGTCTTAAAGCTGTTAGGGTGGCATAGCATGATTTAATTAATGGGCTGTCCCAGAAGCAAGGATACTCACATTCCACTCCAAAAGTGATTGAAGGAATTGCCTGACAACCCAGGCAGCAAATCCTGCCCATACTCGTCATGTAATCGCAATAACCCCAAGATCACATGACTCACATGGGCTGAGTTACAACATTGCCTGCAGGCAGATCTCCCAACATAGAATTAAACATTATTCTAGAAAATGACTATATAAAATAAAATAAATATACACTGAGAATTTTTTTTAATATATGTATGTATGTATATATATATATATAAAATCTGTATATCTCAAGCCACAATATATCCACCAGAAGGAGTGGACACAGCCGGATTTCAGCTTCAAAAGTGTAAGTATAATTTATTTATAGATGTATATCGACGTTTCAGTCCACGCAGGGACTTTCATCAGGATCCTGCTTGTGGACTGAAACGTCGATATGCATCTATAAATAAATTATACTTACACTTTTGAAGCTGAAATCCGGCTGTGTCCACTCCTTCTGGTGGATATATTGTGGCTTGAGACAGCACCCTGGTAATTACTTATTTGACTTGGCAAGTACATGATTCTAAGGTTTAATTTATTTATATATAAATATGCGCGTGTATCTTATTGTACGTGTATTTTTCCATAATTATGACTTTGCTGAGTTTCACAGAGAGATTGCCGCTGGGGATCCTGTGGCCAAGCGCGTAGGTTAAAGTGCGATTTACCTACCTACTTGAACCTGTCCCTCGCAGGCATGGCCATCTTGATCCAGCGGGTCCTCTTTCTTTAGAGCCAACGTCACTGCTGTAATCTCACATATGAGCAAGAGTACAGCGTTGGAGTCTGGAGGATCCCACAAGAACACAGGATCCTCCATAGACAGAGCTACTTCCCTGAAGCCGTCACCATGACTTGTTGAGGATTTGTTCGTAGAGATTTAGATTTAGAAATAGCACTAGTAAAGCAACATATGACTATTCATGATTTGTAGAATGTACACAAAATTACCTCTAATGGAAATTTGATTTGACTGATACAATGTTAAAGGTACCGGAGTACTGTAGTAAGGAACAACTCCACTAAAATACATAACTGATTTATCCAGAATCCATGCTTGCTAACTTTCCTAATATACTGGCCTGCTGTCAGAATAAGAGGCAACTTAACACACAGAATAAATATGCAGGACAAGGTTAATGATGGGTACGCATTGCCGAATCTTAGAGTGGTCAGGCTTAACGCAAAAAACACAGAGAAATAACAAGGTCAATAAAGAGCCAAAGTTGAAAGATAACAGACGTACAAGAATTCAATTATGTAACAAATGTAACAAACAGAATATAAAACATGAGTGGGCATTGGCAATGACCGGATAATGTCAAAAAGTGGATGTGACTTAATGTCATAATAAAAGGGACGGAGCTACAGTCTGGCATCAGAAATGCTGGCAAAGGTTTCCGAGGGTGTGAAACTGATGAGGTGCCTATTTGGGCAGGTAGAAGCACCAGGTGAGTGGCTTAGCGCAAGGGTATATATATCCATAACCTTGAACTAATGTGACTGCTTCAGTAATAAATCTTTAAACTTAGAGGGTTACCGGAGTACACTCATCTAATAGACATATCACAGGGCACAAAACGCCTCTGTGGATTGGATTCCATGTCTCCTTCCAAATGTAGCTAATCCTTTAACTTGCTTTGTAGGAATACGTTGAATACTATGGTGGACCAGGAGTTCAACACATTGCGCTAAATACTTCTAACATTATTGAAGCGGTGAGTTTTACCCTGTCACAGTGCACCACAACTGTGTGTTAATATATCATTAAATGTATAGATGTATCACTTAGCCTTTATGTAAAAATATAACCCAAAGTATTTGCTGCAGATTATTAATTTAAAAGAACGAGGTTTGGAGTTCATGTCGGTCCCCTCCACTTACTACCAGACACTAAGAGAAAACCTCAAAACAGCCAGCATCCAAGTGACAGAAAACATTGACAAGCTGGAGGTAAAGTGTTACATCATTTATATCCATGTATGCATTAGAGTAAATATATATATGACTCTTCTTTTGAATATTGGATAACTGCAGATGTTCACTTCTCTCATTTTAGGAGCTAAAGATTTTGGTAGACTATGATGAGAATGGATATTTGCTCCAGATTTTCACAAAACCAGTTCAGGACAGACCAACTTTGTTTCTAGAAGTCATCCAGAGACATAATCACCAGGTATGACAAATGAAGAAATCTTATTGGAAAAATTAACAATTATTGTTTTTTTGGAGGTGAGGTGCAGAATATAATTTCACACATTAATCAAACTTTATTTATAATCAACAGCTGGTTGAAAGTATCTTGGTTTAAGAAAAATGAGTTCACACTATCTTCTGCGTTTTATCGTTGTGGTTTCCTATCTTTACTGCTTTAAAATATATTAAAACAAAAACCAAAAAAAGCTTAACAAAATCACACCAACGTTATTTTCTTCTAACACTACAGGGCTTCGGAGCTGGGAATTTTAAATCACTGTTTCAAGCTATTGAAGATGATCAAGCTGCCCGAGGCAACCTCACTATTTTGACACCAAATGGAGACTTGGAAGTTCTCTAGATATGGATGGCAATTCAGATCTAGAAATGGATGGCAATTCAGATAAGAATCTGAGATTTACCATTGGAGTCCTTACATAGCCTTTTAATTAGATTTAACTGTTTAATTACTCCTAAATTCATGCCAACTCTTCTGTAAATACCAGAGTGCCCTGTGATTGTACACTGTACACCATGGCATTCAGATTGTAATATTCATTAAAATAAAGAATATAAATATAAGAAATATACTTATTTTAGCAACAGAACTTTGTCCTAGGACATTAGTTACTACAATAACTTTTCTTTAATTGGGTGTTTAGTATATCTTTTAGATATACATGCTCTACAGCACAACCTGGTAGATTCATTTTACAATAAAATATTTTGGTTTTTTTGTCAGATTGTGAAGCATACTAATACTTTAGTTGATGCATCACAGCCAGATATCCTCCAGTAAGGCAGCAGTGCATTGAGACCGAAATATGCTATAAGTCAGAATTATGGTCTTGGCAGCATTAGAGGATAATATATAAAATGAAGCAATGCCAGTAACACATTCATATTATAAACTATTGCTAATGCATGCAGAAAAACCTTAAATACTGTCCATTACTAAATTTAGTTAGACTGTATAACGTTTCATCAGATTTTTTATTTTTATAAATCACTGAATGGAAAGTAGATCATCAACAATAGTGCTGCTCTTATGTACGTGTATACAGCGCCTTTTAAAAATAACTATGCCTAAACGTAAATACTCCCTTTACTCAATATAAAGTAATTCTTTCAGTGCTTATTCAGAAAGAGCCTCTTTATTCTGGTTGTTTAAAAAAAAAAAAAAAAAAAGATACCACAAAGTAAAATATACAGGAATACTACAGGGGATAAGATATGCAGAGGCATGACAACGGTTACTTAAAGGACGACTGTCACTTCAAAACCATTTTTAAATATAATCCTTGCATCAAGTTTTGAAAGGAAACAGATTTTATTTTTAATTAAGTATATGTAAAAATAAATGTACGGTATATATATTTTTAAAACCAGCCATATACATGCACTTTGGGTCAGACGCTGTTTGAAAAATGACAATTAGTCTCTATGGTCGGTTTCACTTTCTGCACAGAAGCAGAGAAACTGGTTTTCAAACACTGTCCGAGTTTTTTTGCATTTACATAAATTTCCTTTTTAAAATATTATATTAAAAAAAATTGTTTTCATGTGAGAGTTGTCCTAATAGTGATTTAACTCAACTTTTTGTCAAATTTGGATAATGCAAATGAGATTATTCAGTGACCAATGAAGTGTGTTGATTTAAAAATTAAATGTGGAAAATTTAGGTCAAAACAAGTAAGCTGGTGATAAAGCAGAGAAGAAAATGTATGCAACTTGGCTTTATTAGTTAAACATTTGCACATTTAGCTCATACCATATGTTGTCTGAATGAGATGATCAGGGGAATTTTCTTACATTTATAAAAATGATTTATACTAATCTGTAAAGTCATCATTTGTAAATATCTCTCACATCATGAGCTAATATTTCTGCTAATCCTTAACTGCAAAAAAGGGAAAACCATCAAGAAAATAGTCATAAATAGATGTAGGGACCATGTGGAAGAGTTACATTAAATAAATTAAATAGTCCTTCATTACTAGTTCACTGCAGTGTTTTATTAAGAGCTGCAATAGTGATGTTTTCTAAAAATTGTTTGGCATTCTGATTTACCCCCAAAAAATAAAAGTGTACACTTTGCCAGTATGTGCAATAATCGCGTAAATGTGCCAATAACAGATCTGTCTATTTTATTTGACTTTTCCGCCATTTCTTATGTTTGCCTAAACTCCGAGATGCTTATTCTATACCTTGTAACATTTCCATTTTCACGAATATACTTTATATGTTTGTTGTGAATTATGTTTCTGAAAGGGCTTCAATAAACATTTAATTGATTCATTTTTTTGTCATGTATTGACTATTTTTGCTTCTGGTAAACGATAGGGTAACATTGTTAGAAACAAGTCTAAATTTCAAATGTGTCTTTTTATATCCTTTTAAAAACTAACCATGAACCACTATCTATGGATAATCTTGAACAGCAGGTAAGATTGGAAAGGATAACCATGTAAGTTTTTGAATATTATATTAGTTATTAAATACATTGCAATTCAGATACTTTATGAGCAACTGGAGACATATGGATTTGTAATGGAAAATGAATAATAAAAGTAATAAATATTGAAACCAATCATTCCTTTTATGCACCACTACTTCTATTATATACCCCATATTGAAATCGTACTCTATTCTCCATTTTATACATGACCTGACTACTGTCAAAACAAAATTGTGTACTTGACAACTCCTTTTCTAGACACAACCCAGAATATCTAATAGAAGCCCATTTTAGCTTTTACCTATTCTTTCCTAACAGGACATTTTCTTAAAAATAAAGATTACCATTATGCCCAACTTGGTTTAGTTATCCTCCTAATAAGGCAGACTTAGATCAATGTTTTTTGGGGTTGCCCCTATGTTAAAACTTTATAGTTCCTCCTCTGATCCATGCTTCCATATTTTCCCTAACTCACAAACTTTTTGGTTGCAAATTAGGAACCAACCTGGCACACCACCACTTACTTGAATTTTTTGTTTAAAATGGATTGGTTATAAATTACTGAATAAAGAATCCACTGTTAAAAGTCAGAGATTCTATTTCCCTACTTTGGAATTGTACTTTCAACGTTAAAGGAACGTTGGAGTACACTGCTTGGTTTTCCTCCGAGGTGATGGACAGTACTCTTTCCAATTTAGATATTTTAAAGTAAAATTTGCATTTTCCTTGTCCTGTTCCACAATTTCTGGGTTAGTGAATAAATCTATTGTGGATCCACTTTAAACAGAACAAATCTGCATGAATATGTAGAATTTTAGTTAAGCAGTTTTTTGTTGTTGTTTTTTTTATATAAAAATCGGTGTTGTTCATTGGTGATCGATCAACCTTCTAAAGTTGAGCATAGACTGATGTAATTTATCACTCTAAAACTTTGTCTGGCCTTTTTTTAAGAGAGTCACAGAAGATTTCTTATGAAAGAAGCAAATACGCTAACATTTGAGCAACAAATACACAAACCCTTTGTAATGATATTGATGTTACAAAGTTTTGGAGTCCAGTAGCCAGATCAGCAATGTTTTCTGCCAGAGGTAGCCACTCGTTACCCAGGTGGTTGAGCCCCTGAGCCTTGAGTGGCCTTCTGGTCTTAAGCAGAGATGGGAGACTGGAACAGAAAGATGATAATCGTAGTGAGGCAAGCCGAGGTCAGTGGGAAGGAGAAGCAGCAAAGTCAAAACAGTCCAAATTCAGCAACAGGAAGGAGAAACAGGAACACGCTTGATTAGAGAGTACAGGAACCACAATAATCTGGCAAAGGTACAGAGACAGGAAGTGGCTTTTATAGGCCAAGAACCAGACACCTGACCAGACACAGCTGAAGAGAGTTGTCACTGATAACCTTGACTCTACAAGCAATAGTATCAGATCTCAGGTAAATTTGCAAAAGGCAGGCTGGTGTACTGGTAAGGCAGAGGTTTAGCACCATGTAAACCAGGGTTCGAAACCCAGCAGAGTCAGTTCCTCACACCCTTTTAAATATCTGAAGCAAGGGACAGCTGTATTTCAAATGTTCTCCGTGAGCAACTGTATTAGACCTTATGAGTTCATGAAAATGGGCAGTAAAAGCGAAATCGCCACCTTGCTCTTTGAAAATCACTTCCATGTAATCATGTAAATAAAACAAATGATATTTTGTAACATGCTCAAAGTATCTAGGCAAGAGGTTGCAGGTACGTACCCTAATCTATGCCGCTAAATAGAAGTGCCGTTGTGGCAAAGATCAACTGGCATTTAAACACAGAAAAGAGCCAGAATTAAGCAAGTAATAAAGAATTTGTCTCTTTACAGGCTCTATGGCCAGCCCTGAAGTCACATTGGTGCAATATGCCAGATTGTGTAAAATGCTCCTACATAGAATGTTTGCGGTGATTAAGACTACTTCATAAGTAAGAAGAGTTGTTCTGTTTATACCAGATACCAAATAAAGCTTGCTTTTGGAAAGAACATACGGTTATTCTGCTGTAAATTGGAATATCAAGCACAGAGCCAGAAAACAACGAAGGCAAAATGTTTCAATATGTGGATCTCCAAAGCCATTTTTTCATAATATTGGTTGGCCCTAGTACAAGAGAACAGATTTTACAAGTATTGTCAGGTTTGGCTTATGATACCCACAAGCAAACATACACAAGTTGCAAGTATAGAGAAAATAGTGTGTTACCAGTACTTAGAATGGTCAGGCTTAACATTTTACATAAAAGTAATATGCCTGGTGAAAGCATGAATTGTCTGAGAACAGCCATATTCAAGAGGAAACAGAAAGGTGACAAGCAGAGGTCAGACATACATAGGACATAATCGTAAAACACAGTCAAAAGCAGAGTAGACAGAATAATTAGGAAGCTTTCTAAGGTATGATAGTGCAAAGATCAAAAGTTGGAGTGAGCTTAAAATGGTTCTTACCTTTCTCCTTTCTCCTAGTAAGTAACCAAAACAATTTTAGTTTAATGACTATTTCCTGGCCATATCCATGGCAGCACAACAATGGGTAGCTCCTCCCCTATCCCTAGTTAGACAGGAACTAATTAAAATAAGGGTACAAATACCCCCTCCTACCTCCTTCTCCCTCAGTCTTTTTGTTCCTGTCCTATCCCTATAGAACCAAATTAGTCTATTTTCAGGACTATAATCACTTTTCTTTTATGGCTTACCTGAGGGTTTTTACCTTCTGTCCTCAAGGAAGTTCAGCCTCTCTTCCTTGGGAAGCTTCAGTATCCGGCCCTGTGCAAAGGTGTCCCCCTGAAGATACCCCCTTAGTGACCGGGGGTTTTACTTGCAGTGACCCTAGGGGTAGCAAGAGAAAAAAATGCCAAATAACTCTGATTCCCTGCAGTGACCAAGAGGTAGCAGGAAGTGGCAAGAAGACTTTATCCTGGATGGATTTCTACATATTGAAACAGCCCACATGTATGTATGTACAAATACTTTTTACCATATATATACTGTATTTGTTAAATCATATGTGTGGGTTTTCCCCCCCCCCTGCCTATTATTTCTATGTACCTTTCATTTCTTTCACGCCTTCTCGGCGTCCTGTTTGTCCGGGTGCGCATGTGCGCCGTCTCGCGCGTGCACGTATTGTTTCGCGTGCACGCTAGCTTCATTTGCGTGCACGCCGGGTCCGCGCGCACGCTAAACACCGCGCATGCGTCTGATCCCCATGAGGCAGTTACAGGGCCTCCTACTCGGAAGTAGCTTCCGGGTTTGTGCCGCGCATGCGCAGATAACGAGCGGTGAATTCGCTCGTTTTGCGCATGCGCGGATAGGCGGTGACGTCAGATATGACGTCACACGCCTATTTAAGCGCCAAAATTGGATTAAATTGTTACCTGATGTCCTCATTAGGTCTTTAGAGGACCTGTTTTCATACAGTTCTCAATTTGAATTGCGTTTCAATTTTTCAGGAAAATCTGAAGGTAAGCTTTGCTTCTTAAAGGTATATACACATTTTTTCATTTCTTTACTCCTTTCTTTCAATAACAATAAAAATTCCTTTTATAGACTCGTTCATAATCAACTCCAAAATGGAGAAAGACAAGAGGAGATCAATTTCTTCTGATTCGGACTCTTCTGGATATAAAAATAGGTCACACTCTAAGAGTTATAGGTAAGCCATATCACATCATTTATTTCCTTTCTGGAATATGATACATGAAATAAAAGAGTGCTAATATGAGATATTTCCCTATCGTGATAGTTTTACGGGAAAGAAAACAGTGAGATCATCCAAAGGAAAATCTTCAAAGAAAAATCAATGCGAAGCCTGTAATAATAAACCGCTGGAAGGCAAACGGTTATGTGCAGAATGTTTATCTAAAGGGGCTGGAACATCGAATCCTTCAATGGAATTTGTACAGTTCATAAAACAAGCGGTGGCTCAAGGTATCAAAGAAGCAGGGGCAAGTCACAAAAGACCCCGGTTACATGAACCTTCGGATTACCAACGTAATGATTCGTCAGATGAATCCATGGATATGGAATCATACCAGGGGAATTTCTTATCTTCAGACGAAGAAGAAACTCAGGCCCCTGCAGATTTTCTAGAACCTGCTCAGATAGACCACCTCATTTACAAAGTCCGTAAATCTTTGAGCTTGAAGGAGGCAGTTGCAGAGCAGTCAACCTCTTATCATTATTTCTCAGACTTGAGAAAGAAAAGAGCAACCTTTCCAGTGCATGATACTATTAAGGAATTAATTAAAGACGAGTGGTCTAATACAGATAAGAAGCTTTCAGCACAAGGCAGAATATCTCGCCTCTATCCTTTTGACAAGTCTGATTCATACCATTGGGATAATGCCCCTAAGGTGGATGCGGCAGTAGTTCGACTCGCAAAACATACCACATTACCGGTAGATGATGCAGGCTCATTTAGACACCCAATGGACAAAAAGATGGATCTGCATCTCTCAAAAGCTTATGTAGCAGCAGGGACTGGTTTTCACCCTGCAATAGCCCTTACTTCAGTGTCCAGGGCCTTGAAAATTTGGATCGAAAACTTGGAAGAAGATATCAGAGATGGGAGAAACAGATCTTCTCTTCTGGAAAGATTAAATGATATTAAACTGGCCGTTGACTTTACCTCAGAATCCTCGGTGGACATGGTAAAAGCTTTAGCAAGAAACATGGCTCTTTCAATTTCAGCTAGAAGAGCTTTATGGCTGAGATCCTGGTCCGCAGATTCATCATCAAAGTCTAGTCTATGCACCCTTCCTTTTCATGGTGAGATGTTGTTTGGTAAAAATCTAGACGAGTGCATCAAAAGAGCTGCAGAAGGTAAAAAAGCCTTTCTCCCACAAGACCGGAAAACCCGTGGATCCTTTCGAG